AACCATAGCCTGTATGCAACCGAGAACCTGGGAACCACTGGACAACTCTATCCATAAAAAATATTTTCAGGTGCCAGTTGCTACGCATGGAGAGGTGGCACGACGTCAGCACCAAGCCGAGGCGCCAGTGTTCCCGTAACCACATACTATCGCGGAGCAGGCATGTGCCAGACACGACCAACCCTTTACACAAGGAACACCGCAGCAACAGTCCAGATTCCAAATCCGAACGGTGCCCGTCAAGTCATACCAGATCCGAACGCTCCTAAATTCTTCCCAATGGCACAGGCGTTAGGCCCATCAACACAGTTTGCCGAAGGTCTAGCGCCAGCTACTCCCATGCCGTATCCATTTCAAGTCCGACGTATGGTTAGCACTGTGCAGCCAGTGATAGCACGCCGTGATGTGCGTTTCTCCACGCCCACACCAATTATGATCTCTAAAAAGGTACCGATAGGGGTGAATCTGTCATGCAGCGGGGTCGTCGATGAAGCCACGCGTCCTTCTGAAGCTGCCAGTGAACGTGGTGATGTTGCCGCTGATCAGAATCGTGGAGACAGCGAAGGAGACGAAGAAGGATGGTCGCACCTCTCCGGATGTCTTGTCAACGTCGATAAGAAGTAATGAGGACACATGGGACTTTTGGGATCGAGTCTACAGTGATCCGGAGCTGCGTCAGAGTATGCAAGAGAGGCAGGTGAGGAAGTTTGACTTCGCAACTGCAGCGACCCATCGGAAAGGCCAAAGGGTCATAAGAATTGAGTCTGCAGTTATTCTATGATGTCAACACTGAGTCTGACTAGTTGTTCCAGAGAGATTCACCTATGGCTGAATTGCTGCATTCGGATAAACTTTGCAAAGCACAAGTGGTGTTCCTCAACGTGCCACGATTGGCTTACGGTGGGTCCTTGCTCTCTCGAGTCGATGGTCCTGCGATGCTGTCACTCACGGCTCGAAGCTGCACCAAATAATGCTCACCTTGGGGCTTGAAGACACATTGCACGGTTGTTGAGGTGGATCTTCTTCGTGTACGTGTGGATTTGGCGATGGAGGGTTGGGGGGGGCGGATGCGGGCAGTTCTACGGCGGAAGTGATAAGCCACTCCTGCGTTAAAAGGTGCGTAGCCAGGGCGGTGACTGTCTGATGGTTGTGTTGTTCTCCGCTCATCCGAACTGCGCTAGTCCCAGATGAGCGATGCACCGTCGTGCTCGCTTCGCCTGAGCAGTGTACGATAATATTGAATCGTAGCCGAAGAAGCTCTTTCAGTAGATATCAGAGTTCTAGTCTAGAATTCTGATCTCTGTCTCTGTCTCTCCGCTCTCTCGCTCTCTCACTCTTTTTCTCTCTGTCCTCGTCTCTTTCTCTTATCGGCTCCACTCGAAACAACCGAACTCCTATCTCAATGAGAGGGCGCGGACGAGCAGTGCGTGTCACGTGGCCAAGGGAGGAGTGGGGCGGAGACGTCAAGGAAGAAGAGCTACTCCAGCCTCTAGCGTCGTTGCTACACACCTTCAGGTGGCAGAAGTGTTGCACTGCTGGGGCTTCGGATCCACCCACCTTGCACTAGAGAGAGATCCATCTCTCACAGGATTGCAGTGTGTCTTTGTGTCGTGACATCTACCCGTATCCAAAGATGTTTAAGGGCAGCAGCATGTCGTTCGTAGCCTAATTCATCGGGAAATCAACTCAAATCTACCAATTTTGGACATTCACATCACTTATAGGAAATGGTCCGTTCCTTGATAGTACGTTAGCAAATGTTTCTATTGGTGGGTACTCTGCCATGTTCAGGACTGTTCGCTTCTATCGTAGCGAAGATGCAGTGCAGGTACTGCGGCACTTCAACGGGTTCTCTTTTCGAAATCATAAGCTTCTAGTGCGCGCCTGTCAGAACAACTCATCGGTTGGTTTACTTGGACTTTGTCCAGCGCTGTCCTAATCAAAGCGGTTTTTTAGTTCGGTGACGCGGCGGCCCTGGAAGAAGCGGCTCAGCAAGAGAACGAAGAACGACGTGTTGGTTCTGGTGCTTCGTCGGAAATTCAACGACCTGATTACGATTCCCTTTGGACGCTCACCGAATGGAAGGACATCATGGAGTTTAAGAAGTCAGTGAAAACCTTATTTCACACTGGGGTGGTCAGAAGTTCGATGAACTTCCTGGTATGTGGGAACGACCTATCAGGCGAATCGGATATTATTGGTAGCAACACATACACTGCAACCATAGAAAGCCACAATCCGTGCGCGCTATTCTGCCAACGCTTTAAATTCGTCTGATATCGTGCCTGGTGTTGTATCAAGGCACGCCGCTGCCGTTTAGGCAAATATTTAGGCAGAGTACCCCCCCCCTCAAAGAGTTTCCTTCGTTTGCGTAACTCGGTTGCCTGGATCAGGACACCAATCGATTGGTTGGGGATTTTTAACGAGTCTTGTTACCGATCACCCCCCCGTTCCCACCCCCTTCCGGCTCTCTATTATTCCTAATCGAATCGAGCTGCGTCGTAGCGGAGGGGGCGGGGTCAATAGCACATGACGAAACAGAGTTGCGAGACATACGACCACCCCTCTTATGATTTACTAATTTTCAGATTTTCCCCAACTTCCTGCCAACTTTTTTCCAAAATTTTCCGAAAAGTTCCTTACTTCTCCCCAAAAATTTTGCTGTTGGGGGGGGACATATAGTACGCATGAAACAGGAATCGCAAAAAGTCAACCACCGCTTCCTATTTAACACACCAAAGACGTACAATACGGGACCGCCTACGCACCCCCCCCCATCCCTCCCAACAATGACCAAGTACGACCCCCCCCCTTTACAACGTCCGTGAAGCGAGAAAAATCAACTATCAAAATAAATTTTTCCCAGCCCAAATACGACCCCCTCTTCCTGGCGGCCAAATACGACCCCCCCCCATTAGGGATCCCCAACAACGATCTGCTCCGGCCTGGCTGGGGACGGAGTATATATCGCTCGTGAAACAGGAAACTGGAGAAAAGTCAGCAAGCAAAAGCATTTTTTTACGAAAGCAAATTGATTGCCCCTACACCGACGATGTACTATCCTATTCCACCCTCCCACCTTGTTGTGAAGATCCTCAATGCGTTGACGGCCCTGGTTGTATTATTATCCAAATGAACGTCTATGGGCGTCAGAAGGTTTTTTTTTTTTTGGGGCGCGGGGGGGGGGGGGGGGGGGTGGGGGGGCTGTGTGACGTCAAGTGAAACAACGTCTATCACCTCTTGACAGCCAGCGAACTGGACCTGCGAGCTGGATCTGTGCCTCTCCACCCACTCGGTCATTTCACGGAATGAGGTTTATGGCAACTATTACAAACCTGATACCTCATCCCCAGCATCCTAATAACCGTACTCCTTTCAGAGACCTAATAGCGATTCTCGAAGGCAAGCAAACTGGCATGGTGTTGAATGAAGCCGTTAGCTGAAGCGGCTGTGTCCCAACGCCGCGGTTTTGTGTTCAGCTCTGCAGCGAACTCTGCCAACAGAGACTTATTCGAATATTGTTACCTGAGGTAAGCTGTTTAGTTTGAAACCCATCCCCCTCCCTTTAACTGGTAGCTGCAGGTGAAAGCAATCGGCCGATGTGCATGTCTAGCTGGACATGAGGATATGGCAGCACTAGTACGGAGAGCTGCTCAAGAGGTACGACGTCAGAGTGGTCCTTACGTTTCCAGCGATTCGACCATGTCTCATTCAGGGCACACCGAGATTGATGACGGACTCATGGGAACCGATTCCGCCGTGCGAAATACGTACAGAGCAGCACCTACTCAGCTATCTGGCAGCGTTCCTTGGACATTTCGGGCCTCAGCATATTCATCATCGATATTCCGCTACGATTTGCTTCTGAAGTCACTGGACCTGCTCTAGCCGAGTGGGCTACAAAGTTAGTTCCCTTTCTTCTGAATCATCAGCAGAATGTAGTGTTGAAGTGGATGCTCGAGCAAGGTTTCGAAGGAGTTCTCCTGAGACGGTAGGACGAGCTGGTACCCTAGGGTCAAGCCGAGAAAACGGTCGAAATACTACTGATGACGCTTCTCGTAGCTGGGCTCTGCTAATCACGATTACAGCATTGCACGACCGATATGGTGCTCTACATAGCTGCCAAAAGCGCTATCAGCGGGAGGGTGTCAGCTCCGATGGAACTTAACTACGCCTTCGTACTTGCTGAGAACTTCTACTTGCATGTTAGTGCGTATGGCTGATACTCCGAAATAGAAAAAATCCACAAAAAGGGAGGAGCAGCGAACTTTGGGCGGAGCTTTCGTAGCAAATCGAGCTAGTAGATAGAACATTCGGGGGGCTGTAGTGGGAAAAGTGAAAGGTATCGACGTGTGGAGACTGTCGTCAGTCTGCACACGTATAGAGCAAGATTGGAAAAAGCTACATCAAAAGTGGGCGGGGGATCTGGGGCGGAGTCACTTCTCTCTGTGTATTTAGTCTGTCGGTCCCTCTATACGCGCGCAATGTGAGAGAAAATCAATGAGAAATGTCATCAAAATGTAGGAAAAAAAATCAACTGGATTCATCAAGAGTAGCTAGGACTGTGTGGGCGGGGCCGAATGGGCGCTATTCGGTTTCCTAGGGCCATTTTGCACTTTGCGAGCTCCTTTTGCGTCCAGCTTAATTAAAGACAGCTCCCGCGATAAAAGTGTCATGGATAGTTGCTTTTCAATTATGAAACAGTAGCTGATAAGTAATTCTCCAAAGAAGAGAAAAAGCAAGAAGAGTTCTCAAGAACACCATAAACAAGATCGCTCCCTGTCAGTCACACAGCCCTGCGGTCATTGTGCAACCCCTGGCTCACAAATCCCTTTTTCGCATCTCCCAGTAATGGATATCATCCAATGCAAAAAAGAATACGGATCAATGCAAAAAAAGAATACAGAAAACAACAAAAACACGGAAGAAAAACTTTTGAAAAGGAAAATAAATTTTCAAGAACTCGGCGTCCGAATTTAGGGTTACGGTAGCGTGCATCTTTTAGTGTGTTTAGTGCGTCGAGCTTTTGCACCACGAAAATTGGGTCGCTCGTGATTTTTACGCGTTTTACCTTGCGAGATGGGATGAAGTTGACTGTATGTGCTGCTAATGAATAAAATGTAATAAAGGAAAGCAGAATTATTCATGGGCACGAGCGTGGTCAGCGAAAAGGACATGAACGCCGATTAATGCCCGCCGCCCCAACAAAGAACAACTGAGCGGCCCTCCGTCGGAGGGCATCTAGCAAGTGGGCGGTCCAACTGAGCGGGCGTTAGAACTAGAACTTTGAGCGGCTGTAGCTCGCTCCTCGCTCGCTGTGGAGTCGCGAGAGTGGGACAGTCTCTAGCTTGGGGGCTGTACAAGGAAGGATGACCATGTATTACTACTTGAGCGCGGGGGCTGTCTTTGAGAAGTTATCGTCTGAAGAGACTTGTAAGGCCCGCTGGAACTACAAAATGGTATAATTGAGCTATTTTTGTTGCAAGAAGTCACCGATGATTGCCTGAATTGGCTTCGCTGGGTATCGTCTGGTGCCCCACCAAGCCTCACTGCGCCACTAAATGTTTGGGACCAATAAGGATTTCGAAAGGGTGCTTTATGGTGAAATACTGAAATACCCCATTCCAGACGATCCTATCAGTTCATTGTCATGTTTGAAGTTCTCTATTTGGCGTCCAGCATTAGACATCGACGTATTCTTGTTGAAGCTGTACAGGTGGATGAGTTTGACCTGCATCCGTCGGGATTCGAGAAGAAATTCAAAAATTTCAACCATTACAGCCTTTATCATCATTGAAGTTCAAATTCATGAATCCGACGGGTCGATGTTAGCGGAGTGCTGCTTGCCGCTGAAGCTATACCCCATTTTATTGTACAATTTTGGATTTTGTCGTTGTTCATAAGGTTGAAGTTATACTATAGTAGAAATTAGTTTAATTCAACAATAATACTTTGGGGATTGTCAGTTAGAGGTACCGTATATTAACCATGAGCGATCTATGTACTCTACAGAATGTTGAAGTTCACCGTACCCCAATACCCATCGTACCCATCAGAGATATGCGGCCTCAGCTTGAGTGGGACTTGGTTCGCTTGAAAGAAGGTTCCTTCGGGGTCGACGATAAAGGGAAGGCAGAGGAGGAGGGGAGGTGAGCTGCACTGCGCTCTATATCCTGGTTATTTCTCCCTACCTATAGAGCAGGATGTGCCAGGGGAAATTGAGAGAATCTGTTTGTCGAATTGCAAGTGGTACAGGTTGAGAAAGCCGTCTAACGCCCACCTTGAGCTCTTAGTGCTGGTCGCAACCAGATCAGAGCCTTAAGTCCCCCTGAGAACGACTCCTACAAGGGAGCACTTCGTGACCAGAAAGAACTCTGTTCTGACTTTCAATGAGCTCAAGTTGTCTTAGAAGGTGCAGGGAGTGGAAGAATGCACTGGCTGATCTGGAAGATTCCGCGATGACCAGATGGGCGGAGTAATAGATTACTACCGGGACTCATAAATGAATGTGTCTTCGGAGGCAGTGGGCACGCAACCCTGGTTGTGTCGAAAAAGCAGATGGCGCGGGTTTTCGCTTTGAAAAACAGAGTAGACGAGAGGTGTCACTGTGGAGCGACCGGTGAGAGGTGGAGGCCATCGACGTCATCACTCCGCTCTCCGCGTCCAGCACGGCCACTTGGGGGCGGGACATTGGACGAAGGCATCAGCTACGGAACTGTTGAGTTTGGCCTTCGTTTTACCACTTTTTAAATGAGCTCACAAGAAAGCCAAGTATTTTCTAGTCGTTTGCTTGGGTATCGCCAGACATGGTTAAAATACGATGGGTTGTCTTGATCTGACGTGATCTTTGCATTAATTTATTTATTATTTTATTCATTCAGTTAGTTATTGATGAACTGTGATCACATCATAAATTAAATACAGATTACGAATAAAACCAAATCGATCAACAACATCGTCTGTCTTTCACTGCAGTTTCACTTTTTATTGTATAAATAATAAATTGTTGGTTTGGTAAAGTGTTCAGGAGATTCCAACAACACCTTCTTTTCATTGAAGGCTTGGCAAACAGGGTGCAGCACTGAAATGGGTGAAATGACGATGCCAGTATGGTTTCCTAAATGTTCTCTTCCTGGTAAATCCCCTTCCCTCAACCTGTCCAGAATTTTTCTCAAGATTTTGCCGTTATCGTGGTGGTGGGGGGGGAGGGGTAGATAGCATTCGGAAAAAACCCTCTTAAGGCTGAATAGTACCTCTTTCGAGCACGAGATGGACACAGGCGGCGGCCGTATTGGTTTTCTTGCATGAAGTCTGCATATAAGCAAAACTCGTCCAGAAAGGACTTTGTTTTGCGTTTTCGGCCATTTCTATGGCACTTTCCTTCTCAAGTCCATAGTTACCTTTTCCCCATTTTGAACTGGTCTGCCAACGAGCAATCTCTAGAGGACACCAAGGAATTAGAGTAACGGGAAAGGCACTGCGAACGATAGCTGTGGTGGGCGGTTACTGCCAGGGCCATCGGTGGAAGGGCTGTGACGCGTTGCGCTGTACCCCGCTCAGCCCTTCCTCCTATAACGTCGGCAGTAACCACCCTCCCTTAGTCATTGTACCCATTGTCTTTGAATGTCTCCACCGCGTCCTGGAGCAGAAGTCAAAGTAGAATGATCGTGGTCCTTCCTATTGGGAGTTCGGACCGCCTTCCCAGCTAGAAATCGTCGAAGGCAATAGAAGGCAACTCTGTTCGTTCACTTTCGGCTCCACACTTGAGCCGAAAGTGAACGAACAGAAACGTCCTGTATTATGCTAATTATTTTCTCCAATTCCTCCAAGTACGCTTGACCCTGGTGAAAGCCAATTTGCCTGTAGGACAAGCTGACTCCATCTACTATACCTTTATTTTGAAAGCAACTGAACAAGAGCAAACGAATCAACGAAAGAATTAACAAATTGATAGGAGCCAGAAGTATTTCAGAAGTAGTTGCATTATTTGTGAACAGACATCATTTCATAAAGCTACAGCAGACGAGGAAATGAAATTCGTCTTCGATCATGGGAAAAGAAAACTGATCTCTGGAGGTCTACTTCAATAGCCAAAACTAGGTCTCAAAAAACTCTTGATCAGAGGTTCGTTATTGAAATCGTGATTGCTTTGAGTACACGAGAGGACCTAAAATTGCGATGAAAATGCGATGATTGCAGACCACTTTGGGGTCCTAGTTATGGACTTGTTCGCTGTTGAAGCTGGGGCATGCCAGAGGGGCTGAGTTTGGTGTTCCGCTTCAGCAATTGGTGGAGAACAGGCTGGAGTCAAGCCAAACCTATTCCCGTGACACGCCCCAGCATCCGCAGATAATAAGACTGTATATTACTTATTGATTAAGTAACCTCAATGCATTATTGATATGCTGTAAAATAAGTGGAAGCAGGAGGAAGGGAGGGAAGAGGGGGTGCTCACAAAAGGGTTGTTATCCGGGAGACGAACTGCTGAGAATTGTAGAAGCCCTAGTGGTGTGTGAAGTTAAGAAGAGATGCGGATGACCTCCACCGGTTACAGTCACTCTTGCTGCAGACGCTGGACGAAATTGAGCTCGGGCCGGGTTTGGCGCGACGCCAGCCGTTCCCCATCAATTGCTGTGATGCAGCTGATGGGGTCAGGCGACAACAAGAGTGAAAACGAGGTGGCGTCGTGATGTGCCCCCTCCCCCCTTTAACATACCCCAGCGTCTGCAGAAAAAAAGTGGTGTTCATAAAGCTAAAAAAAACAAACTTGCCCACTTTATGGAAGGGTTTGAAAGAAGGGTCTAACAAGTATCACCAAAACCAAAATCCATCAAAATTCACCTGACTGTAGACTCTAATAGGATTGAGTAGGATACATTCATTGAAATACTGCTCGAAGCGATTTTTCTGCTGGAATTATTTGCACTTATTACTCGTTCACAAAAATTAAGTAATTCTTTGAGATTAAACTTGTCAATATTTTACGTTCATCAAGCATGGCGTCGTCATTAAAGGCACATTCCGCGAAAAAATAAGGCTATGACCTCTCAAATGTGTCGGACGATCCGGAAGGCGATTTTTGAGGCTGCGCTACTTTCAAAATGTGAAAAACGGCAAGAACTCCGCTAGAAGCTGGCTAATTAGGCCCATGGACACCCCTTAGGCCCATGCCGACCCTCACCGGCTGCTAGCTACTAGCTAGTAGCCACTATGTTATCTTTATCTATAACATTTCGGACTGCTTTTACTGCTGCTTTTCTCCGCTAATCAGATACTTAGCACTTTTTTGTGCCTATTTGAGTTCCGTTTCCCGCAATTTGCGGTCGCGAACTGTGCCTTTAAACAACTAACAAGCGAAGTTCCGGAGCAATTTCGAGTCCAAACGAACAGTCGCCCAGAGGGTGTTAAGGTGTGAAATTTCTGCCAGTGACACGTGCATTGTTCCGGTTTCAAGATGTCATATTCCGGCAGAAAGCGATACTACTGAACAGGTAGCATGGTAGCATGCTTCGCTGTCTCCTGTAGATTCACAGGGTTCATTGTAAGGAATCAGCTGAGCGGACTCCTTCCAACACGCGGTCATTTCGCCTTGTGCTCGCACAAATGCTCGGGGCAGAGGGGGTCCTAGTACAGGCGTAACTTTTTGTTTGCTCTTCGCTGACAAGTCCCTTGGCAACTTCTCTTCCATTATTCAACACCACTACCTATGCTTCCTATAGCGGACCATGTCTTTAAAGAAACGGTCCGCGATGACCTATGAAAGTGCAAAAGATTGTGTGGGAAGGGTGGGTGGTCTGCAATGGACAACCTGTGCCAGTTTCGCCGCGGAAAGTTGTAAAGTAAAGGAGTTAGGCGCAAAGTTGCTCCAGTGGTACCTCCCTTTTTCCAGTGACTCCGCCTCCAGACTCCGCCTTCAAAGTCCGCCTTCCAGCCAAAAGCGGTGCTGCCGGACAAGTAGCGTGAAATGGATACTATACTTTCTCTTATGGGGTCTTAGGACACATACTAAGGAATCACGCGACTGGACTCGTCCCAACCCGCGGTCTTCTGGCCTTCTACCCGCACAATTATTTGAGGCCGAAGGGGCCCTAATGGAGGCGTTGCCGGCGTTCTCTAGGGCATTTTCTCTTCACGTAAGAGTCATTTGGCAACTTCTCTTCCATTATTCAACACCACTACCTATGCTTCCTATAGCGGACCATGTCTTTAATTGTAATGCCAGTCTAAAGAAATAAAGTGAAGAGTTTCAGAAGCATACCTTTTCATAAACAGACGTTGCATCAATATCACTCGTTATGAGGGGCACAATGAACACTCCTAAAGAAAAGAAGATGTAGGGTTAATTTGAAAAATAAACAATTTTTAGTAGGCATTAACAAGTCTCTTTACGGTTGGTGCTATGCAAGTGCCCCATATAAAGTTACCAAGAGTTCTGCGCGCAGTTCGCCTTGGTGGGGCCATTTTGCCGGCTCCCATCACTGCCTATGCCTCTGTGGGTACCTATCAACTCTTGTGAAGCACGCAATAGCACGCGTTTGAAAAGGGTCTACAAGTCCCACCAAGGCGTGTAAGTTGACAGGCACTAGTGGAACTAGCACATTGGAGGAATACCCCCCCCCTCCCCCATCCCTAGACGAACGGCGCCCGGTTTTGCAATGGAAATTGAGGGCTGTGGCGTAAGATTTGTCAAAATCTTCTCCGACCTATTTCTGTCGTTTCCTGTACATAGAATTGCAAAACAAGCATTACCTGCAATGTTTGCTGTCAATGACCGCTTCAAACACGTCACTGAACAGTCTATGTGACGTCATTTGAACGTTATCTTTCTACTTAAAACAAGTAACGTACTTACATATTAGGCGGTTACGGGCGTGGCTGGCTATGACATGATTTTTTCGATATAAAACAACTGCCAACTTGTCTCGAGCTTTACAAAAACATGATTACAAGTCCCAAAATGAAAATATCCCATCAATAGAGCAGCGACCGCCACATTTGAAGGAGGTGCGTAGCCACGCCTACCGCATCTCAGGGGTTAGGGGCATATTTTATCGCATGCCTATGCTACACCGGTGCTCCAAAACCGTCTCCTTACCTTTTTCACCAACTAGTTCGACGACACTGCGTATAATTTGATCAGTTAAAGTTTTCTCTTCGGGACAGTAGTGATGAGCGATGGCTTGCGGACACATATTGTAAAAGACCACTTGGAACTTTGCATCTAAAATCACACCTTTGATATCCATTCATGGGCATAAATACACAAACAAATATAAATAAATGAATAAGTGAATGAATAATTAATAATAATAAAGGAATGTGAATGGTGGACAGGAGATTCACGTTGAGGTGCCGCGCTAAATCATGGTAGATCATCACTAGTGGTGAGGGATGCATCACGTCGCTGTAGTCCCCTCTCCTTTTCCAGTACATGGGTTGCGCAGCCGACGCCACTTGCGAAGTCTCGCCGCCGCAACGTTGACTGCCTGGTCGGCACCTATCCCAATAAGTACTGCCGTACGTTTCATGTGAATAATGAAATCTTTTGAGCCCTTCACAGTGCTCACTGAGGAAGTTCAGGGAATCCAGTAATGCAATATCAGGCTATTAATATGTGATTCGTGAAGTATGTCCATGCTTGTTGCCTGTGTATGTCTGTCTGTCTGTCTGTCTGTCTGTCTGTCTGTCTGTCTGTCTGTCTGTCTGTCTGTCTGTCTGTCTGTCTGTCTGTCTGTCTGTCTGTCTGTCTGTCTGTCTGTCTGCCAGTCAATCAGTCTGTCGGTCTGACTGTCGTGTGATAACAGCTGATAAGAGCGGATAAGGGGCGTCAGGAATGCGAGGTTCCAAGGTTCGTAATGCCCGCCCTACTAGCAGTGAGACCAGCTACACGGGGTGATACGTGGGTTGGACATGGGCATTATTGGTGGGTGACAGGTAGTGATAAAGACTGAGAAGAGGAGATAAGGGACCGTAAGAGGCGACAGGGGGCTCAGTTCACTCAAACTTGTAACGGTGGCGTCGACACCCTGGGGTCAAAGTGAGACGGGGACAAGAAATACACTCAAGTTATCGGTCCGTGCGGTGGGTGGCGGCCAGGTGATATCGTTATGGTGCAGTCGTGCGCGGCAAATGTGTTCGTTTGTCGACTGCAGATATCGGCCGGACTTGTTCTAACAATACTCTGGCGACGAAACACTCCGCTGCCAGGCAGTACATAAATTTTCTTGTTCCTCTGACAGTACGAACTTACGGATGGGCTGATGCCAACTCGTCCGATCTAGCGCCGCATCGCCTCCCTACGCCCGCCACGGCGGCTGTTACATGATTGTTCTTGCAACTTTCCAGACATCTTAGGGGGTGGGGGTGAACAAGTCAGTGCTGCTGACCTGCCGGCTAATGTGGAACGAGTCATTGCCGGCGCATGACCGGGGCTAATAAGAACTGATAAGGGCTGATAATAGGTGTCAGAAAAGGAATGTCAGTAAAATCAAATTCATACGTCGCAGAACAGTGGGGCATTGGTCTTCGCTTCAGGGGCAACGGACGCGTGATGCGGTAGGACGCTTTAGCGGCTGGGGACTTATGCAGCAGCAGGACGCCCTACCGGCTGATTTGGGGGTTGGTGAGGATCCATGTATACTATAGAGGGATCCTGGAGTCAGCCCAGAGAAAACAACGACAAAAGGATAGGTTTTGGCGCTTCTGTGAGACCTGATGTCCCGCAACCTACCTCACTTCACTTAGGGCTATGGGACGTGCGACAGCGTTTGCTATCAAAACTGGTAAATCATAAAATGGCAGTTGTTTATTTGGAAAGTCGAGGTCTACTGACTTTTTTCTTCTGTAAGCGTGAGGATTTGATCCATTTCGTCCCCCAAATGTACCTGTAGCCTCGTACTTGGCAATATTCCGAACCAGTCAATGAGAAAAAACGCCATGGCTTTTTCTTTCTCGAGCATTGTTATATTGGACTGAAAATATAGAATTTCAATCAAATTAGCTCTTGTTTCTAGTGACTCTTTTTCCGGCATTTGCAGAAGAGTGCAAAAAAGGACCTTCACTTTTTCGGATCCTGTACGTGCCACTTC